GTGGGTGAATGAAGGTCTTTGGTTGTAGCTATCATGGTTTTTATGCTTTTTTTGGTTACTCCTTCGATTTTTTGATGGATAAGATCCGGTCCCAACTCGATGTATCTCCTCATCTATTCTCTTGTTACCATCGCCCTTTGTCTTTTCGAAATCTTTCCAGTTTTAATTGCTTGCTCCACCCTCTTAGTTATGATAACGATATTAGTAAAGTTGGTTGAAACATTACCAATCAAATACTCAAAGTAAGGTGCTTTGAAGGTATTCAAAAATATCAAGATTAACTCATATTCCGGTAATGGTAGATGGATTCGAGCCGCTACCTCGCGCCACCTTTACGCATACTCCTTAACGATCTCTTTAGCCTTTTTTTCCATACTTTGGAGATCCGAACGATTTGGAGCCACTTCCATGTTAAACTTGTATTACTTTAGAAAAGCATCAGCTAAATCTTTCCATCTTCCGACCTTGGACCCTTCTAACCTCATATACCAACTCAATACCGATCCACTTAAGCTCTCATAAAAGAAATGTATGAGTATTTTTTTATCGTGAACAACATCTCGTCATCTTGTTGCAATATACCCTCGAGTGGGTCATAAGACACTCGGGTTTTGGTATATTTAGCAAAATCGACATCTTAAACTTCCTCGAGATTATCACATCGAGCACTTAGACACATTTTAACGAGCTTTGACGGGATCGTAGACATCTGCCCCCTCTATCACCCTTAGGCGTTCTTCTAATGCCATAAGTTTGTCCATACTTAGACCTTCGACTACCCCATAACCGTGAGTTTCTTCTTCGTAGGATCTACGAGGGGCATATGTGGCATTTGTGGGACTCGTGGGTCCATGGGATAAGCAAATGCCACTAGCGAGGATATGAGCCATCGGCTTGAAAAGTTGCTTAATTGGAATTCCTTAACCGATTAGGCAATGGAACAACATGAGGTACTTCGAGTTGTTCCCGTCCTTGATTCAAGCCACCTTCCCCTCTTAAGGCTTGTTCTAATAGGGATGTCATCCGAGCCACACTCTCTTTCGGTGAGTCAAGCTCTTGTAGGTCGATTACCTCCTGTCGTGGTCTTTCTTCATTTTCCATTTGACAAGTTCAAAGTCGAGTGTTGTAGACGTACGGAGGGGATTAAGTGGAGTCGCCTATGTTTACTTCACTGAAAATGAAAAAAAAAATATACAAATAAATACTTAATGCAAATGCATGATTTTGAACTGGGTTGGATACCTTTCTTTATTTTGTTGCACATTAAATCATGACGGAATCCGATCGAGGATGGTTTAGACCAAACTAGTACTCGGCGAGGGTAAAATTACCCTACGGATACTTGAGCGATTAGGGAGATATGTATGCCCCCAAATTTCAGTCATGACTTGATTTTGGAATGATGAAACCACTTTATTATAAGTACACGAAGGGCAAAACCTTTTGGCGAGTCTCGACATGAAATTCAAAGGCGGACAATCTCCTTTATCATTTCGAGCCCGCTCAAATCGATCTAAAATCCTCGATCTTATTTCGACTTCTTCGATCATGATTTAATACGAAGGATAACCTTTACTGAAAATTATAAAAATACCCTTGGAATACCAAAGGTCGGTATCGACATCATTTGACAATGATTCGTGTCTTAATTGGGTCAACCTTAATAGACAAGATCTATCTTTTCTATGGTTGGGCAAAGCTTGACTAGTCCTAAAGATATTTCAAGTTTATAGAGTCTGTCTAAATTACTAGTGGGGTAATCCAACCTCTAACCTTATACACTAGAGGTAGGGGAAGGTTATTCCACTATTTTCGATGTATATGGTGAGTTTCGGTCAAACGAGAGTACGAAAGAGCATCGGTAGACTTTCATCATACTCGCCTTCAAATCACTCTATCTAATTCCTATTAGGGTTCGGCTCGAGTCCGAGCTTTTAGAGGTTTCCTTCGTGGTGTGTACAACGAGTTAAAAGAAAAGGCGTACAACCCAATTCAAAAATAAATGTGCGGACAAAAAATTTAAATATATGCACAAATAAATAACTAAAATTTAGAAAATAAAATGATAAAAATAAACATAGGAGATAAATTTAAAACTAAACCTATGGCCTAACTCTAGTCCCCGAGTGGAGTCGTCATTCCGTTGCTACCCGACGTCGGACGAGACTCCTCAAAAATATCTAAAATTAGGGTGAATATTTACAAATTTATTTACGAGTTCGGCGTCGCCACCTAGTATTGAAGGAACTAGGAACCTAAAATGGACACTCGGTTCAAAGATTCTATGGTAAGGAGTTGGTTACGCTTATGGGAAGATATCGATCACCCAAAAGTGACCTTTTCAAAAAAAGGTATCACGTCCGGTTTAGCTCTAAATTTATCTCCTAAAATATTTTATTTATGTCAAATTATTTTCTGATTCTTAATCTCCTATTTTTTTTTTAGCTAAATTGAATTTTTTAGTTTTGAGCGTGGCATTGTATTGAAACGATCGTCGGTCCCCTTCGTCGGGCGATACGTCGATTCAAACATCGGATCCACCTTAAGCCTTAACACAATCGGTATGTCGAAGGATATCTTGATTTAAATAATGATTTTTTGGTGACGTCGGTCCAAATCAAATAGGAGAATTCGTCAAGAATTTTAGATTTTTGGTGACGTCGGTCCCTATTAGATAGGAGACTTCGTCGAATATATATATATATATATATATATATATATATATTAAAGAAAACTTTAAAATTTTAATTAACTAAAATCAACTAAAACAAATTTCAAAAAATTAAATATATCGAAATCATCGTTCGTCCCTAATAAATAGGAGACTTGTTGATACAATATTTTAATCCAAAAAAAAAGAAAAATCTCATTTTAAAATAAATTTCACAACGATGTATCTTCAAATTTTCCAACATACATAGGTAAAATAAAAAAAAACTACAAAACACATAAAATCAATCAAACGAGTCCAAAATTCACCTATATTATAAAATTATCAAAATGCCCATAGAATGCCAAGAGTCACTACCAAGTGACCACTCGTCTTTCGGTGACCGTTCGAGCGCATGGACCACTCGGCCTCGTAGATCGGATCATTACGAGTCCAATGGTGGTGTTATCGATCGGAGACGACGCCGAAGGAGGGAGATCGGAGCCTCCAAAGGTTCGATCGGATCTCCCTTCTTCACCGATGATGAATCCGACCTCTTCTCGGGATTCCAAGCACACCGATCGACTCATAAGGTCGAGAGAAGAAGTTACGTGGTGGTTAGAACCTCTAATTCTTTCTATATCGGCCAATTTTTTCGGGTTTACCAAAATGGGTCGGAAACGGGCCTCTTTCAATTAAATTGTTTTTCGGTGTCATTGGGTCGAGATTTTTGAATGGAAGCACTCGGGGAGATGGGCGATCGGTTCCGTAGTGGTGGTTCTTGTGTTGGTGATCGGAGTTGAGAGAACGATCGGGTATTTATTCGGGTCGGGTCGTGATGGTTTGATCTTTGATTTCTCTCTCCTCCATGATTGTTTCTATCTCCAACCGGTGTTGATGGACCGATCTAGTGATGGGCTACACGAGGATGTGTTGATCGGGGTCAAAATCGGATCGAAAAATGATCAATTGAGGCTCAAAAGTTTCGGCTGGGCAAACGGGTAATCGGGTCTAGTTTGATGGGTTAAGGCGTGTTTGGCTATTTTCAATTAGGATTTTGGTTTTTTTTTTTTTGTTTTACGTTTTTTTTTCTTCTCTCTTTTTTTTGGTCGCCCTTTTTTTTTCCTCCCACTAGGCGAATTGGAATTCGAAAGCTTTTTATAGGCCGAAACCTCCTAAAATTTCTCCTAAAATTAATTCAAATTTTAATTGTCAAATCTTAATTTTGAGATTTGATTAGCTAAAAATAAGGAGCTTCCAATTTAAAAAGATTTGTGAAAGATTTCAACAGATTTTTGAATGATTTTAGGGAGGTTTAATATTTTTTTTATTTTTTTCCTTTTTTGTTTTTTTGTTTTTTTTTTCCTTTAAAGGAACCTAAAATTGGGTTATGACGAGTGGATATTAAAGATTAAAGACAAAGAAATCCATGAAAGAAATAAATTGATACACACAAATGAATTCAAGTATAGAAACTCACATTAGTTTTGACAAGAATAAACTAAAATTGGAATACCCAACGACCATATATAACCAAAAAGGGAAGAACCCAACGAGAGGACAACATCATTCATGGGCTAAAGTTAATAAAATAAAATAAACCCATAAATCTAAAATCACGCCAATACACGGTAGACCAAAAAGTAAAGACCCAATAAAGACTTGTCGTTATTTATAGATATAATTAATTAATTGATAAAAATGAAAATGAATCGGAAACCCTTCAAGCCGAAATGAAAGAAACATTACCGGGTAGAGATAAGGATTGAGGTTGGCGAGAAAGGGTAGGGAGAACAACGGCGGTAAATTTGTGGGGGTGGGTGGATCTAGGTTTGTTTTACGTGTTTGGGAAATTGGAGCGAATAATGGATGGTTTTTTTAAAAGAAGAAGGTAAGAAGGAAGAATTGTTAGTTGATGATGTCGATTAAGTTTGTGAAAGGTTGGTGCAATCTACCGGTAGCTTTCAATTTGCTTCTGCTTCGGCTTCTTTTCAAAACCTAAAATAAAAAAATGAAGAAAAGAAGTGCTGGCTCAATCGCCCCACATTTTTTTTGTTTTTTGTTATAAAGCATAGGTTAAAAATTATTAAAATTTGGGGCGGGTTTCTTGACTGTCCCAAACATTTTGCCCCTATAGGCTTTTTTTTTTTGTTTTTTTGGTGTAGTGATGGGATACACTTTGAAGGAATGGGTGGTTATCTTATAGACAAAATGCGGCTTGATCAGGCTTTCACAACAAATTTTTGAGAGAGGCAATGTGTAAAATAGAGATCAAGCCACCTGGAATGCTATGATCGCTGGGTACACATAGCATGGGCTAGTAGAAGAAGCTTTTGTTACCTTTAGACAAATGCTTGGGAAAAATGTAATGCCCAATGCTGTAACCTTAGCATCCATTCCCCCGGCTTGTAATCCTGTGGTAAGTATAGATTTAGGAAAGCAGCTCCATGGAGTCTCCATTTGGCTATTGTTAGGCACAAATATCTTTGTCAGCACCTCCCTTGTCGACATGTACTCTAAATCAGGCGCAATCAATTATGCTGAAAGTGTGTTTACCAAATTACGGAGAAAAACTCTGCTACCTACACAACAATGATATTGGGTTATGGCCAACATGGGATGGGCGAGAGAGCTCTCTCCATGTTTCATTCAATGCAGAAGTCTGGGTTTGAACCTGATGCCATTACTTTTATTGCTATCTTGTCAGCTTGCAGTCATTCAGGGTTGGTTGATGAAGGTCTTCGAATATTTAAGTCAATGGAGAAGGATTTTAAGATTCAGCCCTCAATTATGCACCATTGTTGCGTTCCAAACATGTTAGTGAGAGTTGGTGGGGGTGGTTGAAGCTTATGAGTTTGTTAAACAATTGGGTGAAGCTGGCAATGTGTTGGAAATTTGGGGATCACTTCTTGGGGCTTGCAGACTCCATGGGCACGTTGAATTGGGAGAAGTCGTTGCAAAGAAGTTGCTTGAAATGGAGAAAGTACGCAACATTGCAGGCTATCATGTTTTGCTCTCCAATATATATGCTGATGAATATTCTTTTCATTTAAAAAAAGAATGAGATTTAATTAATATTTTAAGCCTGTGATGAATATTCTTTATACGGGTGCACTTCTTGTGACTGAGGCAGATGTCATCTGGATTTGCAGAACATGAATAAATCATGTACAGCTCATGGCATAGTACTTCCAGTCCGTGAAGAAAGATTTCTGTACGTCTTTTGGATCGGAAAAAAAAAATTTATCCAAATTAAATAAATAAAAACAAGAGAATTTAGAAAAGTATATTAATTGAAAATATACATATGTTAAAGAATATTTTTAATAATTATGATTTTGAATTGTGAGAGTATTTAAATTTTAAAAAATTAGGGCAAAGATCACAAAAGAGAGACAAAGAACGTAAGTTAATTATTTGTTTTATGTTTCTAATTTTTAAAATTATTATATTACATATGTATTATAACACTTAATTAAAAAGATGACATTAATGCCTACATGAAAAAAGTGTCATGTTCTTCTTTTATTTAAAATACCTTATTTTAGAAAAATAGATTAAAAAGTACCCTATTTAGAGAGAAAAAAACTCCATCAAGTAGTATATATTTTTTTTTTAATAAACAGCCCTTAATTAATTAAAATAAAAAATACAAGAATTTAACTGGCCAAAATAAAACCATTAACACCGTTAATGGGTTTATACTAGTAGGCAGCCGAAGTAGAGTGGGTTTGTGCAATAATAGGTTTGAAAAATGAACTAAACTCAATTCAGGTATGTTCCTACCTTTTTTTCTCAGGTGGTTAGTCAGATACCTTGAATATTATAATTAACATATTCTTTATTTTGATTTTTGAGTAAGTTTGAATGCAAGAAAATTGGTCATTAACTAAAGAGAAGCTAGATCGAGGGGGTAATTGAAAAAGATAAGAAGCAAATGATTTTAATTGGGGATGAAATTGATTGAATTGAAAGAAGTAAAAGAAAAAGACTGAGAAAGTTCAATTGAGAGCACAATTGAAAAGAAATAAGGAGGTGAAGGATCAAAATAAAAAGAGTGCTAAAGAAAATTAGTTGTTATATATCCATGATGAAATCATTTAGTATTCCAAATTGACTTAATTAACGAACCCCCCCAAAAAAAAAAAAAAAAAAAAATCGTAAATGAAAAAAAGAACGAATAATGGCAATTTATCCTAGCTAATTAGCTGTATAACATTCTTAGGAAAAATAGCATAGATTTGGATTAACCGGAGCCCAAAAACCTTTTTTTGAAAAAAAAAACTACTCAACCATACCTTTAACAGTACTAATTCTTAAATCTACATACATTATTAAAATGAACGTAGTTATCAAAAAGTTTTATGGTGCGAATATTTTTATTTGGCCTGCCACACACATATATGTTTGAAAACAGACTACGCCGATGATTGGATTAATAGATCCAAGGCATGTACTAATATGGCTACACTCAAAGCAGGACTTTATTAAGCCATGGTCCTGTGAATATCATACCATTGAAAGCTTTAGCTTTCGATTGTTCAAGTGGGAGGAGAATTTCAAAACCAAATATGAAACATCAAAGGCAACAATAACTACATCAAAAAGATGAATTTGCAATGGGTATTTAACGACGGTCAATAAATCGTTGTTAATTTTTAAAATTTGCAACGGTCCAAAAAATGATTAATAAAATTTCAATTTGCAACCATTTTTTTGCAACGGTCTAACCAAACCGTTGCGAACTTGACGAGTTTAACTTTTTATACACATGTAGACCGTTTTTGTGATGGTTTTTATGAAAAAAATCATTGCAAGTTTAGCAACGGTCTACAAACCATCAATAACCCGTTGCTAATGAGAGAAAACCTAAAAAAAAAAAAAATTTCTGGATGATTGGCAACGGGTTTTAAACAAAAAAACCATTTTAAAAAAAATTCGATTTAGCAACGATAAAAAAAACGAGGTTGATTTACGGCTTCAAAATGAATTTGCATTATAGTTCCATCGATATGTGAGTATTACAAAGTAAAGATTGTTATTAATTATTCATAAAATGATTTTATCAAATTTTATAATAACATTAACTTATAATTAACCTGGTCCTTACGAGCAAGTCGAGCACAACCTAATACCGTAACGAGATCATTACATTAAAGATCTAGCAAAAGGACCATTGCAAATAGATAAGTCGTATACGAGGTACATTATAAATGGGTATAAGTTTCACATTAATGTTCGGAGAGAGCATCAATGTGTAGTGGAGTGTGTGTAAAAGGAGTTAGCTACGGTATGGTGGAAAATGACTACTGCAGTAGGTTGATTGACATACTCGAACTTGAGTATCCAGCCTTACCAATAAATAAAATCATTTTGTTCAAATATGATTGGTATGATACGACACCTAGCATCGGTACAAGAGTTTATGATCATTATGGACTAGTCGAGGTCCATAGTCGCAGGTATTCAAATAGATTTGATCCCTTCACACTAGCATCATAAATGCATCGGGTCTATTATGTAACATATCCTACATGTAAACGCATAAGAAAATGAAGGGCGACGGTAGATGTGCCGAATCGTCTATTACCGTCGACCAAACAAATATCGAACCTTTTTAAGGAAAAAAATGGAAAGCCAATACATTGTCATCCACGTTGATGATGATGAAGGTCAATCATTGATTAATCCTACCGGAGCGTTATTGATTGGAAGGGGCGAAATTAATCTTCATAAGGAATCCGAGTTTGAAACCGATGTTGTGGAAGACTTAGATGAAGAATGTGACAATGATGATCATTATACCGATTAGCAATAATATGGTATATCCTAGTGGATTATGTTATATTGTATTTTATATTCAATTGACAAATTGTGCACATGGATTTTATGTAATTATAGTATGAAATTAAGGATTTAGGCAACCTTGTCCTCCCGGGTTGTTGGGCTAAGTCTGGTTTTGTCCATCCATTGTAATTTTCACATTATTTCAATAAATCTCCAGTGGTACCGTCCCCGTTCGTCAAAAAAGAAAGAAATTAGGTTTATGGTTTTGTTGACCTACATAGTTAACTTGTACTTTTTAAAGGTAAGATTTAATTAAATTAATGTTTATGTTTTATTGTTGTTTAAATATATTTCAAATTATTCATATTAATTTGAATGTTATATGTTAGTATGTATTTATAAATTAATATTTTATTTAAATACTAATGAATGTAATAATTAATGTGTAGGTCATAATGGCTCGAGGTAGGGGTCATGGTTCGGATACCGAGTCGACACGGTGATCATGGACGTGGACACCATTCACATTCCGTTCATGGTCGGATGGGTCCCCCCACGGACATGCCTCCGTACCACTCTTCTAGTGTCCCCCTCGACATACCGTTCGATGCCCGACATGTCTTAGCCTTAGCCATTTCCTTATTATAGACCTCCACATCCTCCGTCATCTTTTCCTTCGTTGTCGTTAGTGCCTTCGTCATCACATTAAGACAACCGTTCCATTCCCGAACACATTCCACCGCAAAACGTCCCACGTCAATCAACTTTGGAACCTATCACATCTATGATCGACCCGCGAGTTAGGGTCATTGTTGTTGGTCACAAAGAGTATGGTTTATGCTTAATTTTATGACATATTTTTTTATTACCGTTATTATGTACTCATTTGTTTATTAATTTAATCATTATCTATTTTTTATAGGTTGTATCCCTCCGATATTTGCTCTCACACGATCATTAAGACATTCTAAGAGTATGTTCATATTTTTGGATGGATGTGGAAGAAAATGAGTTTAGAGACAAAAGACTTTTATTGGGAAGAGTTTAAGGTACTAATTTTTAAAATTAAGTGGTTACATTATTTAATATTTAATTAAATAACATAAAATAATATGCAAATAAATTTAGTAATGATTATTATCATTTTTCTTGGAGAAATCATTTAAGTGGGATGATGATTTGAACGAGAGCACGATTAAGAAAGCATGGAAAAGTCTCGCATGGAAGTGATATTTCGACTCTCTTTGTCGTCTAAGAAATACACCGAAGCTAGCATTTTTCTCATAGGAAATATAGGATGCATGGACTATGGAATGGGCAAAACCCGAGGCCGTTGCTCAATCCGAGATGGCGATGACGGAACCGTAGGAGCGAGGCCTGGTGGTGTCGGAGCTGGTCCTTCTACACATACGGGGGATCGATCGGCCATAGAGAGCACACCATACGCATGGTAAACATATATATAATTTTTTTTTAAAATGATATCCAAAATAATTAATTAAACATTTGAGTATATTTAATACATTTATGTTTATTTATATATGGTTTCGGCGTAATGTGTTGGGTCGTGAACTTGATCCTCACAAGGTTTTCTTGAGGACTCATCGGAGAAAGGTTGATGATTATTTTGTCTTCGTTGATCAACGATCAAAAGTTATCGATGTAAGTTATTAGTTTATAACATTATTTCATATATATTAATTTATAACGTTATTTAACATATGTATTTAATATGATGTGTTTCATAATTATGCAGGAGACCGTACAAAGATTAATAAATGAGGAAGATGTTGCTAGCCGACGATCGGGAGGGACCGAATCGACCGGACACAACATTAGTGAGATATTTCGGAGGGCCGTTGGTGGAGGAGATAGTAGGAGGAAGAGGATGTACGGACTCGGATCACACACATCTCATTATTACTCTAATGTCAATGCAGCCTTAAGCTCTGCTAGTTCTCGATTCAATGCTGCCGACGAGGCACAGCTTAAGGAAGTACAAGATCAAACATCCGCAAATACGATAGATATCCATAACCTATGGGGTACCGTCAACACGCTAGAGGATCATGTCACATCATTGTTGGAAACGACAAATGAGTTGAGAGAGGATAGTCGACGGTAATTTACGATGATGTCACGGATGCGAGTAAATGTTTATGCAGCATTTTCACCATGGTGGTAGTTTATCCATTGTTCCTAAGACCGACGACGACTCCTCTTAGCCTCCGGACGGCTACACCTAACCTCCGAGTGATCCCGGCCATTAATTTCTTTTAACTTTAATGTTTTCTCATATTAACTATAACCTATGTACTCGTTTTTAGTTATTTAATAGTCGAATAATATTTAGCGACGTTTTAATACAATTAATAATAATACATTTGGTATTTTAAAATATTATGTTTAAGATATTTTAATAGATTTTGGTTATTTTAAAGTTGTTAATTTTAGCTAATTTTATATCGGCTAAAAAAAAATTATTTAAACAATTAGCGACGGTCTTAGAAACGGTCTAGACCGTTGCTAAAAAAGCAAATTTGTTGCTATTTAGCAACGAACTTACCGAGGGTTTACAAGATCGTCGTGAATATTGCAAGGATTTATAGTGATATTTACCAACGAATTTTGTTTTTTGCAACATGCTTTGTCCGTCACTAAATTGGCAACGGGCCAAAAACCATCATAAAAATTTAACGATGAGCCTTTTAGCAACGATCCTTTGACCGCCGCTAAAGCGTCGCAAAATCATTTTTGCGATGGTTTATTCACATTTCACGACAATTGAGACCGTCGCTAATTAAATTTATTGTGATAGTGGATTTGAGTTAGACTGCTAGGCCTTCCCCTATCTTTCTTTCCAGCAGCTTTCCTTCAGGACATTGTAAGGCCTTTCGTAGTTTTTTACGTGCTAATGATAAAACCAAGAATGGTTCCCATCCCATGTATGTTAAGGTTTTTGTAGAGGTAGATCTAGCAAACACAATACCTGGTATAACTTGGATGTTAGTTAGAAATGACAAGACGAATGGATTCTAGCAACAAATCTTAGTGGAGTCTAATAATGCATATTATGGACATTGCAAGCTATAGGGGCATGCAAAGGCTACATGCAGGAAACTCGTTCCTTTGGCTCGCCAAAAATCTCAACAAATGTAATCAGCTACTAATGCAGTCCCTCCCATGGAAGCCCAGTAGAAGCAAGCATGACAAGCTATCTAGAAATAGAAGTCCAAAAATAATACAGTAGGGATAGATGATACTACAAAAAATCAATAGGTTTCTACGATGCCACATCACATTGCCAATAAAGGAAATGAAATTATGGTAGAGCATGTGGAACATGATTTCATGCAGATAGAATTGATTCAGTCACCGCTGGTAAACAGGGTAGGGACACATAAATCCCAAACTCAGTTGATAAAGGAAAAAAGGACTGAAAATAAAAATTCCACAGTGGTAGGCAGTGGGCAATCGACCATAAAAATAATGGATGATAATTGGGTTACTACAGCTGTTCTAGAAAATGCTTGCAGAAATGACATTATAGAGACTCTTTCCTTAGCAGAAGCAACCCCAAAGGAGAAGATCAATACCATCAACGCAATCGAATGCTTGAATATGATTAAGTACCATAGCATGGATGATGGTATACTAATAGAGCATATGGAGCCTGATTTATCTCCTCATGCAGCGTCAAAAGGGAGTAAGGATATAGATGATAATTTATCATGGGTTACAGAGGGTTATAGATAGATTTAGAAGTGGGATACAGGTGATAAATTCACAGGGTAAATCGATCTTAAGAAAACAAAAAAAGAAGGTACTGAAAAGTATGGTGAAACTCAGTGGCAGCAGAGTTATTAGATCTAAAAAAGATCACAGAGGGGAGCAGTTCTTCTCCTTATCCAATGAATAACTTCATCTGGAATATGAGGGGGATAGGAGCCCTAGGAAAAAAAAAGACACCTAAGAAGACTTATTCATCATCATCAAGCAACTCTTTTTGTCATTTTAGAACCTAAGAGAATGGGCGATAAACTTCCTGTTTTTCCTAGATCATTACAATTCTTGGGATACTTACATGTTAATCCAATAAACAAGAATATATGGATATTATGGAAGGAGTATAGTTCAGTAGATATGATTAGTATATGCATGTAATCTATTACATTTCAAATAAAGGATCTCAATTCCCATAAGGAGATGGCTTTTACTATTGTGTACGCTAATTGTGCTAGGTTTGAAAGAAGAGGCTTATAGGATAGTTTATATGGACTTTATCTCAATGATCCATGGGTTATGGCTAGTGACTTCAACGGTATAGCAATAGCTGTAGAAAAATGGAAGGAACTCAACCAGACATGGGATTAATGTATGAATTTAATAGTACAATACAAGTAGTAGGTTTATAGGATATGGGATTGTCGAGAAGTAAATTCACATTGTGCAATAATCAGGATGAGGTAAGGAGAATTTGGAAAAGATTGGATCGGGTGTTAGCAGATTAAGAGGCCTTGGCTACTCTGCCAAGATTGAACTGTTCTTATTCTCTCGGCTATACTCAAATCACTATCCACTGCTTCTCTCTATGATGGCCAATGCCCTTAAACCTGGTCGATTTTCACTTAAAAAGATGTGGACAATGCCTAAAAATTGCCTACCTTTTGTACAGGCAAACTGGAATAAAACATATAATGACAAGCCATTCCTCAACTTATAGCTCAAGCTTAAAGCATTGAGAGGAGCCTTGAAATCGTGGAACTGGAATGTATTTTGGAATCTAAATTAGAAGCTGAACCAAGCTAGAGACAATGTAATTCGTATAGAGGCAATATTACAACAGAGATGGACGCAAGAAAACTATAGTGCTGATTGTGAAGCCAAAGCGAATTTGGCATTATTGATTGATCAAGAGGAGATGCTTCTTCAAGAAAAATTTAGGATAAAATGGATAAAACTATTGATCATAACACGACCTTCTTTCACGCATATATCAGAAGTAGGGCTGCCAAAGCCAAATTTAATCTCACAATGGTAGATGGGAGTATATGCACTAATGAGAACCAAGTGGGTGTAGCTGTTGTAGATTATTTCCAGAATGTTTTCAAGAGTGAAAACATATACATGGAACCTAGCTTTATGAAAGAGATACCCACCTCAGTCACTGTCAAGCAAAATGAAGATATGATAAAAACTCCTGATGAGGTGGAGGCAGTTCAGGACATATTTCGTGGAGGAACTCTACCTAAGGATACTATAACAACTTCTCTGATTCTTATACCAAAATGTTCAAAGCCTATAAAATTTTCAGACCTAAGGCCAATTAGTCTTTACAATTTCTCCTACAAAATTCTATCAAAAATTATCTCCAATAGATTATCTCATGTCCTCCCTCGTCTTATTTCCAAAGAGCAGTTGGGCTTTGTGAAGGGAAGGTTAATTCAGGAAAATGTGGCCTTAACTCAAGAGCTCTTCAATGATATTGATAGGAAATCTCACAACAATAATGTGATATTGAAGATGGATATGTCTAAGGCTTATGATAGGCTAGAATGGCCATTTTTGATGCAGGTGTTGAAGAGGTTTGGCTTTTCACAGGACTGGGGTAATCTGATTCAATCGTGCATTAGTAACTGCTAGTACACAATCCACCAAAGCTCTAAAGCACATGGCTTCTTCAAAGCTTACAGAGTGGTAAGGCAAGGTGACCCTCTCTCCCCAGCTCTATTTATTCTCTCTCAGGAGGCTTTTAACAAAAATTTAAAAGCTTGGATAGAGAAGGGTGTCATTAAATGATTTTATACAAAGAAAGCGAACATGGTGATTACTCATCTCTTGTTTACAGATGACATGCTCCTCTTCTGCAATCGGAATAAGAGAAATTTGGACAGGATTATGAAGTTACTGCTAATGTACTCTATTGTTTGTGGACAGATGGTGAATCTTCAAAGAAGCTCTTCTATATGTAGTATCAAACTGTCAGCTAGTAGGAAAACTCTTTTGGTGACATGGACTGGTTTTTCGCCCTCAGCAAATATTATAATATACTTGGGTATCCCTTTGTTTAAAGGTAGGCCGAGGGGAGAATTTTTTTGCTAATCTGGAAAATAAAATTAAAGTTCGAGTTGCTCGTTGAAAAGGTAAATTATTGTCATCAGGAGGCAAGATTTTACTAGTCTGTGTGCTTAATTCTATCCCTATATACATTATGGGAGTCCTACCAATTCCAATAGCTACTTTAAATAGATTGTAGGGATAAATCATAAATTTTTTTTGGAACAATCCCAATAGATACTTTAAACAGATTTTAGGCATAAATCATAAATTGTTTTTGGAACAATGGTGAAGAGAGTAGACATCACTAAGTGAGCTAGAAGGATACCCGTCTACCATTACAGGAGAGGGGCGCTAGGCATCGGGAACTCCGAGAGATGTGATGCAAGCTATGAAAGGGAAACTAGCCTAGGCTTATCTAACCGGCTCTTCCCTATGGAGTAGCTTTATGCATAACAACTATGAAGAGGCAGTTTCCTTCAATAATAATTCCGGAGGCAAAGCATCATTGGAATGGAAAACTATTGAGAATATAATTAGTTAGTTAATTAAGAATTAGTTAGTCGGTTATTTCTCGGTTAGTTGTTGTAAAATATGAATTACATAACTCGCCCTATGTTTCCCTTGTATATATACCGACTTACGTGGGTAAAGAAGATATAACACAAAAGCAAGATATTTTCTCTCCATCCTGTTTGTTACTTTCTTTGCCTTGCTTCTCTCGCTTCTTAACATGGTATCGGAGCGTGGTTGTTTGGGTTCCGAGAAAATTTTTCGGAGATTCGCTTCTTCTTGCATACTCTTCTTTTCATTCTTTTTTCATTTTGAATAAGTGATTGAGTGTGACTTTCTACTCATTACTTACATCATAAACACCATTATAGATCTCATTGTGTATCGGTCTTAGAGATTGATTTGCTCTCTTTTTCCCGAGAAAATTGACACATTTTCCCGAGAAAATTTTTCAAAATCATGGAAAATCAAGCCAACAACCAAAATGCTACACATCCTGTCCATTTACCGAGAGATTTCAATGATCCTCTTTTCTTGCATCCTTCGGATACTCCTAATTTGGTTCTAGTCAATCACTTGCTCCAAGGTGAAGATGATTACATTTCATGGAGTAAGGCAATGGTAATTTCTCTAGAAGCTAAGAGTAAGGACGGCTTTATCAATGGTCGATGTTTAAGACCGGATTCGGATTCCCCCGACTATGCTCGGTGGAAAAAATGTAATGCCCTAGTTCATGCTTGGCTACTTAACTCGATATCCGTGCGGTTGTTTAACGACTTAGTCTACTATCAAGATGCCGTGGATGTATGGAAGGATCTTAAAGAACGGTTTGATAAACAACATGGTGCCAAGATCTTCACACTCGCATAAAGAAATTAATTCATGTGTTCAAGGTGCGGATATCGTGGCGATGTATTATTCAAGGTTAAGACAGATTTGGGATCAATTAGACTCATTGATTCCTCCACCGGAGTGTGCCTGTCCACATTGTCATAGAGAGATTTCTCAACCTTTTGTCACATATACACAACAAGCATAAGGTGATGCAATTCTTGATAGGGCTGAATGATAGTTTTCAAGTAGTGAGGTCTCAAATCTTGTTAATGCAGCCAATGCCAACACATTCACGAGGCTTATTCCATGGTGTCCAATGAAGAATCACAGAGAGGCATTAGTACTAATTCCAATGGTCATTCAAGCACTCCTACCGCCTTCTATTCTTCCGAAGTCCATATCAAGTGAAGTCATTTGGTGATAAGACTAATTGGTCACAAACCGGAAGAGATGTGGTATGTGATCATTGTCATTTGTCCGGTCACCCGAAGGAGACTTGCTATAAATTGAATGGATATCCTCATCCTAAAAGATCATATGGCCATAGTAGAGGATGTAGGGGTGCACTCGTTAGTGGGCGAGAGAACCTATAATGCTCACATTGTGAGTTATTTGGAGCATGATAGAGGTATAACGTATGGTGATCACATAGTTGACTCCGTAGGAGTTCAATCTAATCAGCATCTAGAGCAAGTTTACTCGGGCAAAACCGTAGAAACACCGGTATTTTCACCTCATCAATATCAGCATATAATGGAACTTCTATCCGGAGAGTCCGAGAAGAACATTAAAGCATCTACACCCGATGTACCTTTTGCTAACATGGCGAGTAACTATTTTTTGTAGTCTCGCTTAATGTTGATTGTGGGAATGATGATGTGTGGATAGTTGATACAGGGGCTAATGTTCATATGATTGGAAAACTCGAATTGCTTGTATAATCCTAAAAGGCTTACATCTAATCTCACTATCAAATTACCTAATGGCACTATGACTATCGTAACTCATATAGGCTCAGCCATATTTCCAAACTTTTTCCTTCAAAACGTTTTGTATTTGCCAGCCTTTAAGTTTAATCTGTTGTTAGTAGCTAGATTCACCACCGACATCAATTGTTTGGCAATCTTTTACCCTAACCTTTGTCTATTTCAGGACCTTTGGACTCGGAAGGACAAAGGGGATTAGTAAACTTCACAATGGTCTCTACCATGTCATTCCAACTGCTTTCTCAACCACTCGCGTCTACAAATTACTCTAACAAGAGGTTTTTTCCTAGTCACTCTAAAACATCTTGTAGTTTGAATTCTGTACTTAGCAATCAAAACTCGGATCACACTAAGTTTTTAGGTGAC